ACCACTCAGCAGATTCAAAGCACCTTCACAGATAACTGTTACACTAACAGTATAAATCATGCATGCACACAGCCTTAGGTCTGCTGTCCTGTTAAACCTATACACCACATGTCTCTGCTCCCACAACATGTGCGCTTGCTGACCTTGTTTAAGCTTCTTATGGGTTCATTTTGTGCAGACAGTTTGAATATTGTTGAAATCAGCTGCTGACTTTCAGTCTGCTGGAAGGTTTTCTGCAAACGAAGTGAGTCACGGTGAACTGTGACACGCCGAGACTTTGTTGGCTGCTCTTGCACTGGGTGCATTCTCAGAGCTCATTAAATAACTGCGAGTTATGAAATACATACTTGAAAAGGTCAGGGACTGCGTCTCAGAAAAGGTGTACTGATCCGAGACCACAATGGAAATGAGCTTGTTAGCTTTACCGTGTGTATTATATGCCTTCCCCGGAGAAGGAGACTATTGAACGTGTTACATTTAGAATAAAATCTTCCAGTCGAGACATTTCCGCACCGTTCCCTGCAGCAACCTCATAATTTAGGGAGATTTTAAAAGTAGAAGCCAAACTAGAAGAGAGTGGAAAAAATGTGTCCACCTCCTGCAAAAGCCGTCGGGATAAATGTTGGAAGAAAAAAGCGGCCTCGTCTTTTGTTTGGCGACGTGTGCGCGTTACAGCACTACGCCGTCCATTATTCCATTATTCAAATGTCAGGAGCAGCTGGTTGTGGGTGTTTTTAGATTCCTAGTGGGAGGCAATTTTATTGTTCCAGAGAAAAACAAAAGTTTAAAAAATAAGCGGCCACAAGCCAAGAGATTGTTGATCGGGGTTACATATTAACGGCCAAATCCTGAATATTCTGTTTTTATTCTCGCTTCCCTTTACAGTCTATGGAGCACAGGCTACACAGTGCCTCCCATTCGCTCCAAGCCACGCCCAATAGCACCATCCACAGCCTCGGTCCACCCACTCACCCTCGGCTAGCTGACCTGTGGGGAGCAGCACAGGTTGAGGCACATCAGGTAGGCGCTCGCCTGCTGAATCCAAATGCTCGGATTACAGAGCTCGCAGACTCGATGGTGGTTTAATATGTTCTGACAGAGCGGCTATGACAGTTTGCAAGGACACAAGGGTGCGTGACTATATATGCAGTTGCAAGGATAGGACTCTGTCTCCTGTCACTACTACAGAGTGACTGAGACAATGCAGTCGTCACAGCCGTGACAGCATGTCGAGTTTCTGCTGGAAGCTACGGTTTATGATGTTTGGTCTCGATTAAAGATAAAGGTTGAATGCTGATATATTTTTGTGTTTTCTCTGCTAATTCTTTGTCTTATGAATCTGGCTTTGTTTATATCAGCAGGCCTATTTAGCACACATCTGTAGAGCAGTGAAAGATGAGCTGCCAGGAAAGTCTGCAAGGTAGGAGACAGGCTGGAGGTCTGCATGGAGCACTCAGCATGACTGCCTGAAGTGGATTTGATGAGTTTTGAAAGAGATGTGTAAATCAGCCTGGTCGTCAGAGTGGCATGCCACAAGGTCCGCAAGTTTCAGCGTTTGGAATCAGCATCTGTATCTGTTGCACCCAGCTAAAGTGTATGTTCTTTCGCTTCGACCCCCCTGCAGATGAAAACCACGCTGGGTCGGGCCATCTCCTGTTCGTCTTCTGTTTTATTTGTCTTTTTATTTGACCTGTTATCAGGGACGTCTGGAGCCCGAGTGAAGGACGGATGTCAGTTTGAATTACGTGTGAAAATGCCACTGACCTGTTGAATCCCTTTCCGGTCAACAAGCGCTTCAGTCAAATTTAACTGGTTGCAGGTGGAGATCGTTGGACACTTGAACGCACAGATGGCTGACATGGTCGGAGGCGTGGTGGAGACGGTCGGAGAAGAGCCGGAGCCCGAGTCCGAAGACTTCCCTGAACAGCGTGAAGAGGAGGAGCTAACAAAGGTGAGTTAGAAACAATGCACTGTACTAAAAACGCTGAAGAATCAGGAAAACTTTATTATTAAAAACTGC